ATATATATATATATATATACATACATACATACATACATACATACATACATACCTACATAATTGTAGATAACAACACACACACACATATATATATATATACACACATATATATATATACACATATACACATATATATATATATACATATACTATTTACTTTTTATTTATACCGATAATTATAAGAAATTGAAACCAAGGCAAGCTACCCTTGATAGGTGGGCTTTTAAGGGTCCGGGTGTACACCCTCGGAGCTTTACCTGAACCCTAAACCCTAAACCCCTAAACCCTAAACCCCTAAACCCTAAACCCTAAACCATAAACCCCAAAGCCCTAAACCCTAAAACCCCAAAACCCCAAAACCCCTAACCCCTAAACCCTCAGAGCTCTTAGGGAGCCGCCACTTCGGCGGTGGCCCGGAGAGGCTCCCAGTCCTCCTCTGCAGTCTGGCTTGGGGTTTTTTTTTTTAAGTGCACAAGCTCTTTCACCTGCCGAAGGTCGGATTCAGAGCTCGCCCTTCACAGGGCTTGCACTGAACAGCTACACACAACGGAGACGAAGACCACTTAGGGGCGCGCCTAGGAGCTTCAGCACTCACAGCAGGAACTGGTCACACCCCCTCAGGCACCACAGCATCAGGAGGTTCCACTGACAACATGGCATCTTCATGAAGACCAGGGCCAGGTCCAGGTAGAGGGGCAGGATCACCGGCATGAGGGGGTTTAGGCTATAGGGTTTAGGTAGGGTTTAGGGTTTAGGTTATAGGGTTTAGGGTTTTAAGGTTTAGGGGTTTTTATAGGGTTGAGGGTTTAGGTTATAAGGTTTAGGGATGAGGTGATAGGGTTTAGGTTATACGGGTTTAGGGTTTAGGTGGGTTTAGTAATAGGGTTTAGGGTTTAGGTGATAGGGTTTAGGCTATGGGGTTCAAGGTTTAGGGTTTAGGGTTCAGGGCTTAGGTTTCAGGCTCTCGACTGAACTTTTTGGGGCTGGCGTCTTAGGGTTTAGGGTTTGGGGTTTCGGGTTCGGGCATAGGGCTTTCGACTGACGCTTGGGGTTGAAACGAAAGGCTAAGGGCTGCTCCTACGAGGCGTCTATGAGTTTGGGATTCTGGGTTAGTGCTTGTGTTAGATGGGCTTAGGGCTTAGGGTTCAGATGGGTTTAGGGTTGAGGGTTTAGGTGGGTTTAGGGCTGAGGGTTTAGATGGGTTTAGGATAGGAATTTAGGGTTGGGGTTTGGGTGTTGTTTAGAGGATGGCAAGAACAGAGGCTTGGGATCGGGCTTCCGTAAGGCTCCAAATGAGCCGAAAGATAAGGGTCTAAGTACCTCATCTTCATATATAAATATGCATAAATGTGTGTGTGTGTATATATATACACACACACACTCCCCGACATACGATGCTGACGCCAAGTACCTAACTGTTGGGCCTTTGGGCCTTTTAGGTATGGCATTTGGGCCAAGAAGGGCTAAAGGCGCTGTTGGGACTGCGAACAGCAACCTCCCAGTGGGGTTTAGGGTTTAAGGTTTAGGGATTAGGGTTTAGGTGTATGCTCTGGCCCTACACGGCCACAGGGGGCACCATGTTTGTTTTGTCCGAAGTTCCAGGAGTTAGTTGGAAGACAGCCCAACTCCCTAAAACCTAAACGGCCCTAAACCCTAAGCCCAACTCCCGAAAACCTACACGGCCTAACTTAACAAGCTATTAAAAGCCCTGCAGCCCTCTCGCAGTCCTGCGGCCCTGCGCTCAAATCCAAACCGTCTGCCCTAAACCCTGAACCCGAAATCAACAACCTACACTCTACAGCCCTAAAGCCCTAAACTCCTAAAGCCCTAAACTCCTAAAGCCCTCGAACACCTCATAGGAACCCTTGAGCCCACACGCTGGTCTCCTCCAGGTAGTGCACTGCTTCCTGGGCCTCAGAACCTGGCAACTCTCGCTCTACACGCCATCGAAGCGGTTTAGGGTTTAGGGGTTTAGGGTTCTCAAAAACTCAAGCGGGCAGTCAGTGCCTGCCAGCACTTCCGGCAGGAGCACTTGCTTCGCCACCTGCCGGGCACAGGAGATGAGAACACCGAAGGGCCCGAAGTATCCCTTGCTTGAGAGACATGAATATGTGCCTTCAACATCCTTAAACTGTAGGACTTTCTAGTTTATAGGTTTGTTTCAGTTCGCATCGGGGTATATGCTCTTCGTCTGAGGAGTGCACACCATTAATCCTATAATAAGAAGTACCATACGGTATGCCTGCATCCCCAAAACTTACAAAATAGTAGGGCATGCATCATGGCTCCTTGATGTATAAGATGTAGCCCCGGGAAAACAGCAGTATTTGGGATCCGCAGGTAAAACCTTAAACCCAAAGCCTCAACGTAAGACGCCGGCTCCAATGCAGAAGCCCTGCAAACCCAAAATCCTGGAGCCTCCACAGTTCAGGGTTTGGGGTTTAGGGTTTTGGGTTTAAGGTTCAGGATTTGGGGTTTAGGGTTGGGACTTTAGAGCTCAGGTTGTCGTATGGGGGATTGAGAGTATCTACAGGCTTTCGGGTTTAGGGTTTAGGGATCTGGTAGTAGTAGCAGAGTAGTAGTAGTAGTAGT